TTTGATTTGTATTATTTGTATTTGTTATTTATTTTAATTTTAGTTAAATTATGTCTGAATTTATTATGTCTGTATAGGTCTTTTATTAAGTTTTAGTTTTATTTAATTTTAGTTATTTTAATACTTCAACAAACTAAATGGAAATAAAATAATATATATATTTAATTTATGTTTATGTATGTGTGTATATATATATATATATATATATGTATGATGTGTGTGTGGTTGTACATACACATATATGTAGTTATTTTTTTGGTGTTTGGCTTAGTGTTATGTTAGAATCATTATTATACTCTTACACCTTGTGTTCTTAAATATTTTGAATTGTTTTTAGCTTTATCTTTTGTTTTTCATTTATATGTTAAGTTTTGAAATTTTGTTGTATGCATTTGTCATTTTTATTTAATTTCTTTATTTTTTAAATGTGTATAAGCAGTATTTATAAAGTTTTAGCTTTTAGTTTTGGATCTGTTTTTTGTTGTTTTAATACTACAATTGATTGCTTCTGTTGTCCTCATTTGTAAGTCGCTTTGGATAAAAGCGGGCATTTTTTATAGAAATTTTTCAAAAATATATATTTATCTCACCTAAATCTAAAACTGTCACTCTTTGTTCATTGCGATCTCACAAAGTTCTGTTATGACCAATGAATCTCACACTGCGCAATTAATATATTATTAACATCGTCGTGTATACACTATACGATTCGATTGTGATCAGCACAGAACAAAAACTGGTGTGTGTCGTAGCCTTTATCTCACAAAGTTCTGTTACCAATGAATCTCACACTGCGCAATTAATATATTATTAACATCGTCGTGTATACACTCTGTATGTTATAATGAAAGGATTCGACAGAACAAAAACTAGTGTGTGTCACAGCCTTTAGGTAAACCAGCATACATTCATACAATAAGTATCGCTTTTTATTTCTCCTCTTTCCTATTACTTGTTTCACTTCTGTTTCAGTTTTTATAACCATTTCTTACTATGTGTAAGTAAGTTGTTGTTTTTTAGCATGTGTGTTTGGCAGTGTTATTTTTTAGGATTAATGATAAACTACTGTCGTTTGATTTGTATTATTTGTATTTGTTATTTATTTTAATTTTAGTTACATTATGTCTG